AGAAAGAACATATCAATATTCGCATATTCATTCAAAAACATGAAAATTCTTAATGGAGTACCCTCATTTTTTATTGAATTCCTAAAAAACAATATTTATAATGAATTTTAATAATTTTTTCGAATTTTTTTTAAGCTTTATTCTGACCGATTCACCCGATTCCCGATCCGGATCGCCGATTCGTCGATTCGGATCGGTTTTTTGGAAGCCCGATCCGGGTCACCGATCTGTTTTTTAAACCATTGATTTAAAATTCCATAGCCTAACTCACGATAATGAAAAATTTGAGGCGAATTTAATACTATTCTCACCATGAGGGAGAATATCTCAATATAGTCTACATGCTCAATCAGGTGAACCTTTTCACCACTTTTAAGGGTTTGTGCTTTGTCTATTGTCCCATTGACCTTTCTATCATATGGAAGATCTATGTGTTCCCATACTCTGTTCGTCCTTATGGAACTCGTATCTCTTAGCCCATTTCTACTTGCCAGCAATAAATGATCTCACTATCTTCTAATATGAACCTAGTTCATTATCATAAATGGAGATGTAAGGCATACCTTTCCTCTTTAATCACAAAATCTATGAGGAATTTTATCATATGCACTCCTGTGAGGATTAGGAAACCATGGTGATTCCCTCCCACTTTCCTCAATGACTATGGAAATACTCTCACTATCTAGTTGAGGAATTATTTACCAGTCTCTATTTGAGATCGGTAGTTATCAAAGACCTCTTAATTCTTAGGAACTCCAATTGAATGAAGTTCACATTGCAAGATTCAACTTTTTTTAGATCACCTTTCTAAGACTCACAAACCTGGACAAATCCATTAGAGTTCTTAAAACATCTAGTCATGGTTAATACTATATACCTCTAGTTTAACTCATTGCCAAATGGGATGTTAAGAACAACTGACACCCAAGAACTGAAAAATAGATTTCTAACTAATCCACATTTCTTTAAGGGATATTAAGACAGAGATCTCAAAGGCACCCTGTTCGAGATGTAGTCAGTAGTCAAAAGAGCATCAACTAGGAGCCCACATATAAACACACTTGTGCCATCAAGGACATCAAAATGACCAATAGGGTACTATTCCTTCTCTGACAACACTATATTGCTACAGAGTGTGGGACATCGTTTCTTGCTGATGAGTTTCATGATCATGAGACAATCATCCCAAACAATTCAACTATGTACTCATGCCTCATTGTTAGTTCTTAGGAATCATAATTCCCCCCCTTGACCAGTTTTCAACCTCCGACTTAAATTTATTGGAACAGTAGGTTGCTTCTAATTTAAGTGATATTAAGTACACTTATTGATGACACAAGTATTGATATTGAGATTTATCACGGAGCCTCCATCCAAGGGACCTAAATCGAAGTCCAAATAACTCCTAAAGGTTATTACATACTTTGTACCTTAAGAAATGGTTGTTTTTGTGGATATTACCACTAAGTAAGGTTATGCCATGGGCAGGTTCACTTTGGTTAATGATCCATCTATAAAAAAAAACCTATTACAACAAGTAATTATGAAAATTTCAAAGAGCATGACCTGCATAGAAGATAAATTGAAAGTCCTGTAGAAGATGATATAGACACTAAAAAGTGGTATCCTTCTCATACCAGGAGTATAGAGCATATAGTGAAGCAACACAGTATAATCCAAAACATATGATGATCCTAAGCGCACCGCACCCTTAGCGATGTTGTTCTTCATCAATTGCTCAAGCCTCTCACTAGAAATAGGGAAGCTAATTCTCCCAATTCCACAATCCAGCAGACAGTGAATGAGCGTATCGCTCATTATCATAGATAGAGAAGTAGACAGTTCATGCCACCAATAACTCAGTGCATATGTATGTGTGTGCATGCATTTTGTTTTCATATGCGACGTTAATTTTTGCTATAAAGCCTAGGCATCGTAAATAAAGGTGATTGTGAAACCTTTTCCAATTTGGAATATGGAAAAAAGTAATTTACACATTAAATTTTAGACGATAATAAATATAAAAAATAAAAAATAGAAAACGAAATTAGGTTTTGGTCGTTAGATATAGCCTGTTTAATCTGAACCGTTCGGACCGTCCCAGACTTACCCTCCATTCAAATTATAAATAGCAAAGAGTGGTCCCGTCTTTTATCATATCAGGACACGGCCGTTTGCTTTCCCATCGAGCATTTGCAGAGAGGTATGCGTCTCCTTATATTTTTCTTTTTCTTTTTACTTTTTTTTTGGATTTTTTTTGTTTCCTTTTTATTCAATATTTGTCTACGATTAATCACTTTTTTTAATATTATTTCGTTATTGTTTTTGTTTCCCATGTGAATTTTTGTTTTCTTGTTCTGCTTTTTTGTTTTCTATGTGAATCCTGTTGTAATTGTGATGGGTCCTTCTTTAAAAACAAAAATTGGGGTAAAAAATACAAGATTTTAATTTTTACTTTATTTGCTGTTGCGGGTTGACTTGAATTAGTGGGATGCCATATAATTCCTGGAATATTGCGAAAATAAATTTGAGTAATTCTCTTGTCACTGTTTTTTGGCATATTATCCTCATTCGATTGATTTAGATGTAGTAAATTTAAATTTATAGAATGAATTCAGTGTATTTTCTGATGTTTTGTTATCACCTTGCTTTTGTGACTAATTGATGTTTACTGTGCTCGTTTTTTTCGTTCAGGAATTTATTAACAGAACTGTGGAACTTTAGTTTTTAGTTTAAGTATATGGGATTTTTGAGATATTTTTCTGGGGTTATTTTGAGAAGACTTCGATACAGTTAGCCTTAGATATTTCAGAATGGAACCCTAACTTGATTTCCTAGTAGATAATTTTAACCTTATAAGCCTAACGTATTTATACATGGTTTTCACGTTTTGTTCATTGTCTTCTTCATAAAATACACTCGTGGTGCACTTAGCTTTCTTGCTTTTTTGTTGATTATAGAGTTTAGGTAAAATACTTTACATTTTCATATAATACTTTACATTTTCATTAATAATTAGTCCATTTTGCAATAAATATTAATTAAATTTCTAGATATGGAGTTTCGGAATACTATGCTAACTTTCATTCCTCTTGCACCATGCCCTGTTATTATTGCCATTGTTGTTGTTGTTTTAATTTGAGTTTATATACATGGAAATCATACACAAATTGTGAAAGTTGAGATGAATAACTATCGTTAGTTACCAAAAGACGATAGTTTCTCTACACTACTAAGCGCAACCACTTCATCAGCTGAAGGAAAGCCAATTTAATTCTAATGATTGTGCAAGAATTAAAGAACTATGTGCCAAGCAAAAAGATTGAATTTCAATATTTCATGAATGTTTACAATGTAAATATGGTGAGATTTCAGAATAAACATCCCCAAATTTATGCTCTAAACCGTTAAAGATTAATAATTAGTAAGGATTTGTAGGGTTCGTCAAATTATGGTTCATAAAGGAATCCCGATATCGAAAGATCAGGGTTCTTTGAGTACCACTGGGATATCTAGCTTGAGATCAATCAAACTCAATAGTAAACACCGAAAAATTAAAATCAAACTAAATTAATCTAAAAAATAAAGAAACGAGGGAAAGAAAAACTTACCTAGCCTGGCTGATTGGTCCTGCACATCCGAAGACCCGGAGTTGGTCCCTGTATCCGATTGCGGGTTGTTTACGCCAACCTCCTTCTCTTTTCTTGAAGAATGCATGGGATGTGTTCATCTTAGGGATTTTGGGTTTGAATAAAATTTTGAATATGACATTAGAGTTTTGAATGTATAGAGAATTGGCTAGGTTTCCCTAGATTAAGGTTTTAATGCACCTAGTGTTTCTAGGGTTTTCCTAAGCTGGGCTCTATCTCTCTTTGAGGTTTATGCTCTCCAGGTTTGAGGTTTAAGGTTCTAAAGTTACCTAAGACTTTAAGATATCTTGAATTGGTTGATTGATCCGGAATTAGCCCCTTATATAGACTGGACCCCACATCTAAAATGCGTATTTAGAAGTTTCCAATGTGTTTATCTCTTGAAAATCCAAAATAATCTTGTCAATGAGTTTTGACGATATAGTGCCCACCGTCTATACCTCTGGGTTAGGCGACAGATACCCCGTCCTCTAACCCATGAATTGTCTGGATTACGCAAACAATGTCGCCTGATCTATAGGTATGAGGTATAGGCGATAGACACTATGTCATCCAGCCTCGTTGACAGGATAATTTCGAATTTTCACATGATAAACACATTGAAAACTTTTCGAAACACATTTTGGATGTGGACTATAGTTTATATAAGGCCCCAATACGGGATCAATCAACCAATTCAAGCCATGTTAAAGCCTTAGGAAATTTTAGAGCCTTAAAGCCTAACCCTAGACAACATAAACCCCAAGGAAAACTCTAATTTGAGATGCAAAGTTCTATTCAAACCCAAAAGCCTTAGGATGAACACTCCCTAGGCATTCTTCCAGAAAAGAGATAGAGATTGGTGTGAACAACCGGCAGTCTGATATGGGCACCAACTCCTGGTCTTCGAGTGTGCCGAGTCAATCAGCCTGTCTAGGTTAGTTTTCCTTGCCCTATTTTCCTTGATTTTTAGATTAATTTAGTTGAATCTTAATTTTTGGGTTTTTTCTATGGATTTTGATTGATATCAAACCGGATATCCTAGCGGTTATGAAAGAACCCTAATCTTTCAAGATTGGGATTCTTTTCTGAACCGTAATTTGCCGGACCTCACAAATCTTTATTGATTATTTATCTTTAACAATTTAGAGTATGAATTTAGGGAGTTTCCCTCTTAGACCTCGTTAGATTTGTGCTGTAAACAATGAATAAGAGGCATGCTCCTCTCTTTCATAGAGAACTTAAGATGATATAGTTTATGTGTACCTCTTGTACAAAATATCCTAGAATCTTTCATAGAGCAACACTATACATGACAGTCCCAGTCATTTACCATCTAATGGAGATATATGAGAACAAGATTAAGAACATCATTTGGCTGTTACATTAAAATATATTGTAGGAATATCTCATGTTTGCAATGGAACACAAATACAATAATTTTGAGGCTTGGGGGCATAAATTTGCATGTACTTGTGTCCACAATATTAAGGGGTTGTTGCACATGTTATGATCAATATCATCATCAGAGCCTTATCCTAACTATTTGGGGTCAGCTACACGAATCTTTTTCTGCCATTCGGCTATACCAAAGGCCATATCCTCAGTAAGACCATAAGTCTCTATATTAAGGGGTTGTTGCACATGTGTCTTATATAAACTAAGGGTTTACTAATCTTGCTTATCAAGAAATTACAAGGGTTTGTTAGTCTATTTATTGCTTTTTCACTTATTTTTGAGTGTTTGACATATTTTTAACATTTGGTCCCTAATTGAGGAGACCCTGTACTTTTATGCATTGGGGTTTCACACGTCTATCATCTAGTGTGATTCATTTGACTCATCTTCTTTTCTTGGAATCATATCCTACAAAAATTTATATGTAATTCAGCATTTTTCTGTAATATGGCTTTTATGTTTTTCCTGCCGTCAACTATTTCCAGCACCGGACATCTTATGATCATTTGGCATCACTTGTGCAATCCTCGTCGTTATCCATTGTAGGTTATCATCATTGAGTTTAGCAAATAGTAACTTAAGAATCATAGGTTTGTAGTACTTGATCAGTCAAGAATCAAGATTTAGTCAGTCTGATTTAGTTTGTAAATTGGAGTCCTTCATTATGAGGTAAGTTACAGCTCTACGTTCCACCTTATTCTATTTCTTTTCAACTATAATCTGCAATTTCTTTGTAGATATTATTGTTAAACCATGCAGCATTTGTATTCACTGTCATTAGCAGTTGGTTTTGTTCAGAACACTCTAGAATTTTTATCCAGGGAATTGTCAAAAAATGTTGGCTCTCAGCCTATCTGGGAAATGAAGAAAAATTGCAACATTTTAAAATTCCAGAACATATTTACCAATAATGGTAGAAGTGTAAACCAGTTGTCCACCAATCGCAGGAATTTACATTTACAATAATAGATAAATGGAAAAGGGCTTTAAATTCAAAACTGTCATATGCTGTTTTTTTGTTATATACATCAATCATGATGTGAAACATTTTTTTGGTTGGGCAACCCATTGCTTTTTCTTTTTGGCGGTAGGTGAGAAATCCAACTAATTAGACATCCTAATTGATTAATAAATATATGCTGCATATCCCTTTGTCATTGCTTAGAAACTTCTAATCCAAGAACCCACGCTGATGACATAAGGTCTCAAAATCTTATGATCAATTTCCTGGTGTCTACTATGACAATTTTGGGTTATTCGTGCATAATGATGATATAATGACAAGGCAATCTAGATTATGATAATAGATGTAAAGCATTTGATTATACAATTTAGATCTTATTTCATGTTTGGCATCATTTTTATCATTGTGATCTGTCACCCTCAGACACTTTGAATTGGGTGCCTTAAGTATGGTTCATACTTCTTCTTCGAGAACAGTTTCTCTGGTCCACTGTACATAACAAAGGTCCATGATTGCCAATTGCCTTTCAGTCTACCGCTTTTGAGTGGTGAAGGCTCTATAGACCCACTCCTGTTGCCAAATCTCTCTTTTTTGATAGCTCCTACTAGCAAGAAATCTGATCTATAGGAATAATATATTAAATGCATATGAGCATAAAAGGTGATCTTCTAGGTATGCCCAACTCGTATATGTGCATCATCAGGTTACTTCTGTGACTATGACAGTGGTCATCGCTTCCCTGTTGCTGATATTTCTTCTGTGTTTATGAGTTATTGGCATTGATGCAATTGATGCTATTATGGATTTTAAAATTTCTGACTGCTTCTTAATATGGGGGGATGCATATGGGAAGATTCTATTAGTCGTTGCAGGTGGCAATTTTTGCTTCCAACTCTTATATTGAGATGTCTATGTTCTCTAGTTTTATAGTGTATAATATTTGGAGTTAGTTTTGTATCCCTTGGCTAAACGATGCTTCTTTTGGTTAGAAATTAACAGCATTTGGAACTTTCATGGTCTCAAATGATTTGTAATTTTGCTTCTTTTTTTTCTGAGAGAAATTTGTAATTTTACTTTACCAACATCTGACAGATGGAATACCATACATGTTGTTTCGACAAATAGAATGAAATTACCTCCAATCTTTTAAATATCAGGAATCCAGGTTATGCCATTATTAAGCAAGTTGCATGAAGAACTCTATTCACCTTCTTGATGCAGTCCCTTATGCAACTTAACTGTCCTACTTATGTTACTATAAGGAGGTTGACTTTTTGGCTAAAATAGAACTATAATTCTATATTTATGAACTATTTGCACTAAAAAATCTTTATTTGGAGCCACGTGCCTAGCCTGTCAAACGGAAACTAAACTGTGCAATTTGAAGACTTTTGGTATTCTAATAGAAGTCATACAGAGGCTTGAATGACAAGATCTCCACATTGAAATTATATGAATTCCATTATTTGAGAATCATTTTGGGATTGTACTTTTTTACTCATAACAGATAAGGCCTGTTATTGCTATCATAAGATACATAAGCATTCTATGAACCTAAGTCATCATCATCTTCCGAGCCTTATCCCATCTAAATCCTGAAATAATATTTCATATGATTGTTTTTTCGTTTTATATGTTATTTAATGTTCCCATTGGAGCTTCTTAGATAACTGGGGATTTTAAGATCATGGATACATGAGAACTCTGTTTCATTTATTGTATATATCCTGGTTGGTAGAACTCTGTTTTGGGTTCTATTCCACATCTCAATTATTCTTTTATTTTTGTTGATGAAAGAGTCTGTTTTTTAGGGTTCAGTCTCTATGGTTTAATTGAAAGTACGGCTTTTGATTTGTGTGTATTACTTTTGTTCTATGATGTATAAAGCGATAGGTGGTCATCCTCTTGCATAAAATTTGCCATAGGACTAAAGTTTCAAACACTAATCAAAAGGCATACTCTCACGTGAAACATTCATTTCTTGAGCTTTTGATTTGTGCCTCTGCTGTGCAGGTGACGGAATTAGTATTTGTTATTGCTTAGGCAGCGTGTATGGTCTTGCTTTTGGTTTTCACTATGGACAATTTTTACAAATCCAACTGTGGTTTTATTTTTCTGAATTAAAATTACAGCACTTACCTTTTGACTTGAAACTAGTTATTTGGATATGCATAACTTTCAAAGGCAAGTTCATTTGTTTCCGGTAAATCTAAGCATGGGCTATTTTCCTTTTCCTTGCCCTACAATTCATGCCAATTTACTTGTTGGATTTCTTTAATGTTATATCTTATTCTTGTCCCAGTTTGGATTAGTGTGTGTGTTTGTGCACGCGCGCGTGTTTGCACATGCATGACATATAAATGTGTGCATGTATCTAGGTATATACATACATAATGCATCTGTGCATATGAGCATGAATTATGCTATACCCTTATGTTTCACTTTCAATCGCATCGTGACAAACATGTATGTGTAGAACGCTCAACATCAAGAACTACTGAACAAGCAAACCCCAAGAACAAGTAAACACCAACATGCCGAAGAACAAGGGAAAGGGAGGCAAGAACCGGAAGAGGGGAAAGAATGAGGCTGACGATGAGAAGCGGGAACTTGTGTTCAAAGAAGATGGTCAAGAATATGCTCAAGTGCTTCGCATGCTAGGCAATGGAAGGTGCGAGGCGATGTGCATTGATGGAACCAAGAGGCTCTGTCACATTCGTGGAAAGATGCACAAGAAAGTCTGGATAGCAGCTGGTGATATCATACTCGTGGGTTTAAGAGATTATCAAGATGACAAGGCAGATGTGATTCTTAAATATATGCCTGACGAGGCTCGTCTCCTTAAGGCATATGGTGAACTTCCTGAGAACACTCGTCTCAATGAGGGTATTGCAGCTGGTCTTGACGAGGAAGATGATGGAGCTGGGGATGACTACATTGAGTTTGAGGATGAGGACATTGATAAGATTTAAGTCATGCTTCTTTTTTCGGCCACTGCCAATACAGCAGAATGTTGTTCCTTTAGTGTTTCTTTTCTATAGATAGATGGATATACTATTCTTACTGGATGGAGCATCTAGTGAAGACAACAATACTGTTTTGGGATTTTGTTTGTGTTTTTCGGAAGGAATTTTTGCTTATATGATATCAGGGATGAAAAATGAGAATTTGTGCTGTGCTATTTTCCATGCTCTCTTCTTTTGCCTTTTTTTTTTCCACAGGATGGGATTGGAGTTTTTGATGATTTTGAGCTCCTCTTATTCCTATATTGGCGCATGAGGTACAACTGCAATCACCATTTATCACAGACCATGGTGCTGTTGGTTCCTGCTTGTGTGTTTTTCAGAGGCATTTTCTTGCTAATATTTTGAGGAATATTTAGAGCAATGTTTAAAAACCCAGATTGGTTGGGTGAATTGGCAAATTCGCAGATGTAGATCGGCGATCAGGCTGAGAGAATTGTATAATAAAATTTAAAAATTTAAAATAAAAATAGAAATTGGAGAATAATAATAATAATAAAACTTGGGTCCTGCCAGAGTGCCTGGTTTCCCGCAAAACCAGCTGGTTCAAGTAGGAACTGCCTGATTCCCGAAACTGCTGGGGAGCCGTGACGCTCGGATAGAATTGGGCAATTTTGATCTGACCAGGTGATTATTTAAACACTAATATGGAGTTATTGGTATCTGGGTTACCCATAGGATTCATTTTGTGTGGATGCGTGGGTGTGGCGGGGTGGGTGCATGTATGAGGTAATTATAGGGGACATTTGCCTGACCCGAGATGACCACTAAACCCATGTCTTTTCCGTCTTTCCCTGGCGAATGATGGGATTCTAGCTGGTAATTCTGTTTGGAGGGTGTCTTATCTGTTCAGGGTATGCTTGTGTGCTTCTTTGTAGGGCTTTGACTAATGGGGAGGGTTTAGGTGTATCCCCAGGGGCATCTATTGTAGTCATCCATCATTCTAAAGTTCATATTGGAGATTGACCGAGTATCCAAAGCTTCTCAATTCTATTGCCTTGGCCCATAAACTTTTTGTTTTTTTTGGGCAGTTCAGTGAGCAAAACACAGGCCCTTACTTATTTTTAGAAATGGTTTGTGGTTTCTGAATGTGTTAGTGGGAATGGAGATATAGACCAATAGTTGAAGTTCAGGTGGTGCTATTACCATGACTTCAACCCCCATACCTAAGTCTTTTGTCTTGGCCAAGGTGGTGTTATTACCATGACTTCAACCCCCATACCTAAGTCTTTTGTCTTGGCCACACTGTGATCTTGAGTATGAAAAAAGAACTTTTGAGGTAGTTCATCTTGTAATTTTTTATTTGAATGGTTCATTTCAATTCTTCAAGATGATGAAATCTTTACATACATGGATTTGAGGTGGTTATGGATTTACAATGATTTAGTATAGGTTTGAGCTTTAAAACTGTGGTTATGGATATACAATGATTTAGGGTAGGTTTAAGCTTTAAAACTCTTGAAACCATTGCGTTATATTTTTACATAAATGGATTTGAGGTGGGTATGGATTTACAATGATTTCGGATGTGTTTAGGTTTTAAACTCTTGAAACCATGGCGGACTAGTAAGGGGCCTCACCAAAACTTTTTCTTGAGAGCGGCGGGATTGGGTAGGCATACCAGCATTCATTATCAAAAGGAATAGTACGTACCAGCATTCATTATCAAAAGGGTAGTACATACCGGCATTCATTATCAAAAGGACTTGTAAAGCGTCCACACCCTCTACATTTTCAACATTTCCTTCTAGGGGAAAAAAAAAAAATGGATGATGATTTAATATAGTATTTTAATTTTAAATTTTTATATCGGAAAAATTATGTATAGACTGGTAACTTTTTTTGTATTACAAAATAGTCCATATTTTGGCAATTTTATGTGGACGTCTTTTTTTTTTTTTTGCGATTTGGTTTTTTTTTTCTGTCAATTTTACCTTCGGTTTGATGTTACAAATATCAATCCGTATTTTTATTTTATTTTATTATTTCTCTTGGAGTATCTAGGGAGTTTTGATATGGGCAAGCTTTTTATGGTTCCCCTACGGCATAAAACTTATATACCTTCCCTTATCCAACCGTCCATTTTGAATGGACGGTTAAGATTGCCCCAATCATAATGTCACGTCTCTACACCATTTTATTTTTAATTTTTTTTTATAAATTATTTTGACACCAAAATTTGGACGTCCATTCCTCTATAAAACTCGCACTAGCGAAAAATATAAAAAACATATTTTCAATAACATAAAATGACCAAAATACCTCTGAAAGTTTCAAGGGGTATTTTGGTCATTATATTTTATTGATTTTTTTTTATATATATATTTTTTATAGGTGTTCCCCAATAAGAAGATGGCATGTACCAAATTTTATTTTTATACAATTTGTATAAAAAAAATTAAAAATAAAATACTTTGAGACGTTGGACCTAAGATCAAACCGTAAGTGGCTCTCTTGATCAAAATTGGATGGCTGGATGGTAAGGGAAGCATAGATCTTTTATGCTGTAGGAGAAATATAGAAACCTTTCCCTTTTGATATAGGAGCGACCTGGGCAGGTTTGACATTAGAAATATCAAAGCACCCCATAGTTGGTACCACATTGTCATGCTCGCCAATTGGTCACGAGTTCCCAACAGAGGCCCTCTAAATAGAATCGATTTCTCCTTTAATTTCTTCTGATTTTCACCATTATTTAATTATAAAAAATTTAGGGATGGCATATTATGAAACTATTTATCTTTTTTATAAGGAGGTCACAAGTATTTCTAACCATTAAATATCAAATTGGATAGCTTGGAATGTGTCACAAAGTTCCAATTTTTTTTTTTTAAACTTTGACTCATGACATGCTCACAACCACCCGATTCGAAATTTAAAGGACAAGAGCGATTGTGACCTCCTTGTACTAAAAGTAATTAGTGTATTTGTATAACAACTTTAAAATATAGATTAAGATGCACCACCAAAATCCATCGAAAAAGGTTGTTTTTATTTTGGAAAACCTTCGAATTGATCATCTTGACATCGAGATGTATGAATGTAACAGAAAAAGATTTCGAGTCCCAAAATCTTGCTACACATTATCCGGACAGTCCATCTTCAAGATTTTGAACTGTACATGATTTGAAGCATTTTTTAAGTTTAAAATTTTATATTAGAAATGAAAATGGATTCTTAGGCCATCCTAAACACTTTTGACATCAAAATTACATTTTATAATAAAATTTCAGCCTGATTTTTATTGTTTAAGGTTGCAACCTTTCACAAACCACACCTTTTAATTATGGGTGCGGTTTATATAGAGCCAAGGATCTAACCAATCAAAGTAAAGTGCACCTTCAAATAGTATCGAGAAATGTGATTTCAATACTTGAAATCTTTGTGATAGCTTTAAAATATATTTTCATCTTTAATTATAAAATTTAATGCTTAAAAAATAGTGTAGATCGAGCATATCTATAAAAACTTAAAAATCTTGAAAATTGCTGTTCCAAAAATGTGTTACAAGATACACTATTTCCAAAACTTGAAATCCATTTTTTTTCTCATGTCCATACATCTTGATGTCGAGATGATCAATTTGAGGATATTTGGACATCAAAACAACATCTTCTAATAAAATTTTTGAAGTGGGATCTAATTTGATTGTTTAGAGCCTCGACTCTATATAAACTTTTCCTTTAATTATTAAACCTTTTAATTATTATCTATTGGAACAAGGTTTCTTGTTACTTTACTGTAAAAATATTCAATAGAAAAAAATAGAAAAAAATACAAAAAACCCTCCAAAATATACCATCGATGCAACTTACATCCATCCAAATCTTTTCTCTCACATTTTTCCCCACAATAAACTTTCTACACAAAAACCCCCCCAAAGTAAAAAGTTCATTTTTTTTAGTCGAAAATGCCATTTCTATACAAAAAAATCAATTTGGCAAGATTTGACGTCTCACAAGTTCTACTGTCGGAGCGCCTTTTGCCAATGCCGGAGCACTATCGTCGGAGTGCCTTTTGCCATTGCCGGAGCGCTAGCGCCGGAGCACCCTTTGCTATTGCCGGAGCGCTATATCTCACAAGTTCTACTGCCGGAGTGCCCTTTGCAACTGCTGGAGTACCCTTTGCTACTGCTGGAGCACTGTGTCTCACAAGTTCTACTGCTGGAGCGCCCTTTGCTACTACTGGAGCACTGTATCTCACAGGTTCTACTGTCGGAGAGAGAGGTGTGTGCAATAGTGTTAAGGGTAGTTTAATCTTTTTTTTTTTTGGGTTGGGGGTTATTTGCATAGAAAGTTTCTTGTAGCGAAAAAAATGAGCAAAAAAGTTAGATTGGAGGTAAGTTGCATAGATAGTGTAGGCTTCGGGTTTTTTTATAATTTTTCCAAAAAAATGTCATCAGAGGCCTAAAAACTAATTCATTGATTCGTTTAAAGTGGATGGAGATTTGAAACAAGAGGCTGTACGATATCAGAAGCTTTGGAGTGTCCCAATTTGCTTGATTTTATTTTTTATTCTTTTTAATATGGTATCATGTTGGAAACATCTGGTTGGGTTAAGAAAAAGGAAATCAAGTATGGAGCAGTTTGATACTTCCAATATCAGACACCCCCTTCGGAGGGCAAAACGATCGATCTGATATTTGGGGCATCGGACTACCCTCAAAATGTTTTTTGAAAAAATGTGTTCTAATGTTTGAAATACGTTTTTTTGGGTGTAGGGGGAGCAAAATTGGAAAAAGTAAATTACATAAATTGCCCTAAATATGAACCCTTTCGTAATACCAGACAATTTTCTTGCCCATAGGTAATTTTTTTCTTTTTTGTCCCTATTGGACTTACATGACAGTTTGAAGCCGTTTGTGCTTCTCTCAAGTACACCTAAAAAATATAAAAAGATAGTTTGTAAATAAAATAGTGACCAAAATACTCGTGGAACATTTAAAGATATTTTATTAAAGGAAAAATATACAATGTGATCATTTACCATTGATATAAGGTGGTCACAATTAATCTTGAAATTGGATGATTCTATTTATTCTTTTGACTATGCATAAACTTCAACAAGCTCAAGCTATCAGATTTCACATCGGATGGTTATAAATAATTGTGACCTCTTTGTATGAAAGGTAAATGGTCTTCATTGTATATAATATTTTTAGTTAA